GGTGTGGGGAGACTGAGGCACAGAGGAGTAAGGACTTCCTTGGTGAGTGGTGTTCAAACCCTGGCCATCGGGCCTCGACACAGACATTCTAACCACCGAGCTCAGTAATGGTCATGACTCTATCCAGTGAACATTTACTAAGCACTTGCCCTGTGCAAAGCTCTGAGGAGTGCTGGGGATGAGGGGCCATCAGGCCTCGACACAGACATTCTAACCACCGAGCTCAGTAATGGTCATGACTCCATCCAGTGAACATTTACTAAGCACTTGCCCTGTGCAAAGCTCTGAGGAGTGCTGGGGATGAGGGAGGAGGCAGATGTGGTTCCCTCCTTGCTGGAGGTTTCAGGAGGACACGTGAAGGCATGTGGGGAGCTGTGGGCACTGCAGAGGATGGGGTGGGAGGTTTCCCTGTGGATGGGACGAGAGCCCCCAGCAGTGAGGACCCCAGGGGAAGGCTCTGAGGTATAGGGGACATCTGGAGCTGGGGGTGGGCATCTGTTGCTGGCTGCTGACCCCAGGCCCAGCTTCTAACCTAGACTGTGCTGGCCTGGTGGGTCCTCCTGGCTGATCAAGCTCCTTCAGGAGCAGCTACTGCCGAACTCCATGCAAATTCCTGGCCTCATCCTGCTGCTCCAGGCCCTGGAAGCTGCCTGCATGCTGACTCTGGGGGTTTTCTCAGAGACCTTGGAGCTGGTGGCTCAGCCCAGGCTGCACATCTGGCCCTGAGCTAAGTGCTTGAAAAACTCTCACTTTATCCTCACCGTGGGCCAACGATGTCCCTAATTCTCAGAGTTGGAAATCAAGGCTCAGGTGGATCAGATCACTGGCTAGTTAGGGGAGGCACTGGGTCTCTTTTCCACTGATGCTTGTGCTCCTGCAACCTCTCCCTGGGGCCCGACCTGAGGACTGAGGTTGCCCCAGCTGCCTTGTGCTATCCCTGCTCTGGTTGCCTGAGAGCCTTGCTCTTCCTCCTGCTTCAGAGCCCATCTGTCCAGGACTGGCCCCAGACCCTAGCCCTGTCTGAGAGGCACCTCTTCCCAGGGCCTGGCATCTTTCCAGGAGTGCCAGGACTGATTGGCACAAAGATGTGGAAGAGGCAGGATAGCATTGACAGTAATAACAATTCTGGCTGATGGCATGACTCTTGGTGTGTCAGCCTGCGAGACATGCTTACGTGTCCCCTCACAGAGTCCCCACAGCAAGCCAAGAAAGCAGTATCATGTTCCCATTTTAACGGTGGTGAAGGTGGGGCATGGCTGCCTAGGGTCTTGAACTTATCCTGGTGGAGTCAGGGTGGAACCAGCATGACGAGGCGCTTCCAGCTGGGCAAGAGGAAGACTTCTCTGCAGTAGTGGAAATTGGGTTATGGCCACACAGGCTCCTGGGTCTCCCCTAGGCCCAGGCCACCTACCTCAGTGGACAGCCATGAGGCCCCAAATCCACCCCCAAAATCTCATCCATGAGCAGGTCCTGTTGGGCCTCCCTCCAGATTGTAACCCAAATCTGTCCACGCCTCCCTCACCTGCACTGTGGCCAGCTCAGTCTCAGCCACCATTGGCTCTCACTGGACCAGTGAGAGACTGTGGCTGTCTCCTCTCTGGTTTTCTGGTTCCATTCTGCCCTCTGTAGCTGGGCTCTACCCTGACCTCCTTGGAGGCAAATCCCATCAGATCTTCCAAGTGGCTTCTCACTGTGAACAGAAGACTCCATTGCATGGCTTGGCCTCTCCGGCCCCTTCTAATTTCCCTGCTCCCTGTGTCTTCGGTCACCCTGCTTTCTCCCTGGTCCTTCAAAGTGTCAAACTCGTTGCTGCCCAGGGCCTTTGTACCTGCAGTTCCCTCCGCTTGCACTGCCTGGGGCCCAGGCTGAGCGGTGGCTCGTTCTGGTTGTTCAGGGATCAGGTCAGACGCCATCTCCTCAGAGTAGCCCTCCCTGCTTTCTGAGTTGCTGCTGAGGGAGTCTTCCACACCCACTGTCCTTCATCCTGCCTTCTGTTCTAGTTGCCTTTGTGACACTTATCATGATCTGACATTTTATCTATTGACTTGTTTACTTGGTTATCATCTCCTCTTTCGGTAGAATGTAAGCTCAGTGAGAGCAGGAAGCAAGTCTGTCGTGGTCACCATTGAGTCCTCAGTGCCTGACGGTGGCTGGCCCAGAGTAGGTAGGTACCCAGTAACTATATGTTGAACTATGAATGAATGAATGAGTAAAAGTGAGTTCCCTGTCCCTATAGTTATCCTAGAAAACACTGGTCAATAGGTGCTGGACAGGGCCCTGGGTGCTAAGTGGTCCCTCCCCCAACTCCAGTGCAGGAGCTCTGGGGGCCTCTTGGAGGGCCATGGTGGCAGGTCAAATTTCCAGTGTCCCAAGCTCTGAGGTTTCATGGTTCTAGGTTCTCCCCAGGCTTGGGCAGAATCCTTGATGGAAACAGGGCTGACTCCGTGGACTTGGCATTGGGTAGGCTGAGTTTGTGGACATTCCCAAGGGTGGAGAGGCAGGGCAACAAAGGGAGAGACCTGGTGGCAGCTGCTCTGCTTTTGACAATTGAGAGATGCCACCTGCCATAGCAGAATAAAGGTCCAAGTGCTCATCCTGGCATCCAAGGCCCACCTGGAAACAGTTGGGCCCCCTTAGCTGGCCTCCGTGCGTCTGCTTCACTGACAGGGACAGGGCTTATTCCCAGCTATCTTCCCAGTGCCAGCTTGACCTGCAGGAAGTGGGTTCCTTCAAACAACAGAAGTTTATTGAGCACCTACTATATGCCAAGTACTGTTCTCTCTAGGTGCTGGGGACAGAGCAGTGAGCCGATGAATTCCCTGACCTTGTGGGATTTGCTTCTATTCTAGTGAGGAAGATAGATGAATGAACAAATAAATATGCAGTAAAACATGAGACAGCGATAGTCTAAGAAAAAAGATAAGAGCGAGTGTGATAGGTATTATTTTGGAGCGAGTAGTCTGGGTGACATTTGAACGGAGACCTGAGTGAGAGAGTTAGCTATGAAAAGAGCTGAGAGAACATTCCTGGCAGAGGGAACAGCAAGAATAAGGCCCTGAGGTGGGAACAGCCATGATGCATCGGAGAATGGTGAGGAGGAGGCTGGAGTGCAGTGAGTGATGGGAGAGGCAGCCAGGCTCGGTCAGACAGAGCCTTGCGGGCCGTGGAAGGACTTTGCGTTTTGTGCTGAGCTGGGTAGGAGCAGTGGTGTGCTGGAGTCGCTCGCACTGGCTTGTGAAAGCTGAGTGTGCACATTTCTTTCCCGCTCCACATTCAGTGAGGTCACATTGGTAGCTTGAAATTGGCCAAGGTGGGAGTATTTACACATCATGGAAATCAGCAAATGCTACAAATGAGCTCCACCTAACCACCGGTTTTAAACATTTATACTACTGGGAAGTTTTGAGTTGGGGAGTCCCATAATCCGACTTAAACGCACAGCAGAGGGGTGGGCCCCAAGGGTCTCAGTACCTGGATAGGAGGAGGTGAGAGGCTCACCCCATGTCTGGACATGGTCTCTGGTTGGCTGCCAGATGGGCTGTGGTGCAGCTGACCCAGGGCAGCGATGGCTGCCACCACGCCCTGCAAGCTGCTGGGCACATATGCCCTACCCCAGCTGTCTCTGTGCTTGTGCCCAGGCCTGTGCCAAGGATGGGGGTGGGCAGGCAGGGCCAGGGTGCTAGGGGATAGAGTATCAGGGGGCCAAGAACCTGTCCCAGGGAGGTGGAGAGGTGGCAGGAGACGTCACTACATATGAGTGGAAGCATCCAGCCTCTGGCACTTACTCCGTTGTTCCAGACTTTACTTAAAAAACACAGATTCAAAGATAAAATGATTATGGATTTCAAGACAGCAATTGCAGAGCATTAAATCCCAAGCATGGGGTCACTGGAACGTGGGGTCCTGTGAGACAGTACGGGCTTTGGCTGGTGGTTGCCTAGTTCATGCCACAGAGAAAACCTAAGAAAAGGCCAAGGAAGTAGAAGTGCCAAGAGACAGTGAACAAGCCCTGATGACATCATGGGAGACTCTGGATCCAGCTAAGCCCAAGCTAAAACACCCATGGACTTCCCAGTTCCTGAGCCAATACATAAGTCCCCTCTTTGCTTAGACCAGCTTTAGTTGAGTTTCTGAGGCCTGCGCAATATGGGACCCACAGAGGAGAGGATTCAGGCCTGGGAATCTAGACACCCAGATTCCTTTGTTGACTTGAAGAATCTTGGAGCTGTCCATCAAATCGGAATGTCTGAAGGTTGCTTAGAGGTCCAGCTGTCCCCTCCCCACATGGAGCTGTTCAGTTCCCAGGCCATGTTCTTTATCTGTCTTAGGCCTTGTTTTCTGTCTCCAAACAAAGGGAAGCTTTATTCCTCAGTCTTCCCAGTTCTCCCCAGGCTAGTTGATGTGGGTGTCAGGGGAGATGCTGGAGTTCCACAGTGGGGAGCGTGTGCATGTGTGCGCAGCGGCCTGGAGGGTGCCTGCGAACTGGGTGATGAGAGTGGGAAGGTTGCATGGGAGTGTTCTAGAAACATCAGGAAATGACTGGGTTGGGGGAGGAGTTAGAGACCCAGGAGCGTGAGGGTGGGGGAGGGCCTGATTGGGGAGGATAGGTAGAGCAATCTCTCATTGACTGTTTCCCTGTTAAGCCACTCCCTGGGGTGGACATATAGCCCACAGAGACCCAGGAGCGTGAGGGTGGGGGAGGGCCTGATTGGGGAGGATAGGTGGAGCAATCTCTCATTGACTGTTTCCCTGTTAAGCCACTCCCTGGGGTGGACATATAGCCCACTCATTCTTTCATCTACCCATCCGTCCATTCATTCATTCGTTCATTCAATCACCGAGCATATACCCCGAATGAAATTGTTGAACATGCACTGAGTAAATGTTGATTTTCAGGCATAGCCCTACACCCTGAAGATACCCTGGCACCTTCCTGGGGACTAACCTTTTTGAAAATATGAGTGCCAATCTATGGAAAAACCAAAAAAACTCAATAAGTGTACAGAGCACTTCCTTCTCTCTCCTCCCCGAATTGCAGAGTAAAAAGATCGTGATTGGGTCCCTGTGGAAAAGGTATATCTTACTTCTTAAGTCATCAATTTCGTTCAACAGGAGAGAGAGTGAAAAATTATTAATCTGGGCAGAGCTGATCGGTGCCCAACCTTGGTTGGGGGTGGCCCCAGGAAGCCCCCTCTGTTGCTTGGCCTTGTGCTTAGTGTACAGAGCACTTCCTTCTCTCTCCTCCCCAAATTGCAGAGTAAAAAGATCGTGATTGGGTCCCTGTGGAAAAGGTACATCTTACTTCTTAAGTCATCAATTTCGTTCAACAGGAGAGAGAGTGAAAAATTATTAATCTGGGCAGAGCTGATTGGTGCCCAACCTTGGTTGGGGGTGGCCCCAGGAAGCCCCCTCTGTTGCTTGGCCTTGTGCTTGACAGTCTGCAATCACTCATCTGACATTTAACAACTTGGAGCGAGGAGTATGGCACAAGGAAGCCTCACGCAGTCTGGGGCACCCTCACACTCTCGTCATTGCTGAGGGTCCCTTGGATGGGTGTGTCCATGGGGCTCCATCCACTGGGAAGGACAGACCGTGGATTGGTCTGGATCCTCAACCATCCCGGCACAACCAGGAAAATTGGTACGGGCAGCTGACCTAGAATGTGTTTATACTGGTTTATGCCTCTGTCACCCCGCAGGCACCCTCCCCTTCACTGATCTGGGGAGAAGAAGGAAGTTCCTGTAATGCCAATAATTGCCACTAATTCTTGAGTGTTTGTGTGCCAGACCCTGGGTGAAGTTCCTTCATAGGTCATAACTGAATCGTCTACACACCTTCCGAGGAGACTGAGTCTCTGAAATGTCAGGCTGCTTGCTTAAGCCCTATGGTGGCAAAGCTGGAATTTGGATCCAGGCCTGTCTGATGCCCCATACAGAACTCTCATCCACTGTCCTTAGAATATAACCTAAACACTGCACTGTCCAGTAGGGCCAACTGAACCCATCCCTGCCTGCCTTTTTGGCCCTGTCTGCCACTCTCCCCTTGCCCTCTGTCTCAGCCAGTTCTGTGAACATGCCGAATTAGTTACTGTGTGTTTTTTGCTCTTTCTATTCCTTCTGCCTGGAATGTTCTTCCGTCACCATCCAGCTGGTGTGGGAGAGATTTCTAGTGCTCATTCATATGTGCTTCATCTTTCCGTCCCAGGCACCCAGAAATACTGCCCTTCCCAGCCCCCTTACAGTTAGTAGGGGACATGAGATTAATTCTGCCAACGGTCAGGAGAATCACCTCCAGGCCAGGACGAGGAGGAACACTTGCAGGACTCCCTGGTTCTCATTCCCTTCCGTGGTGGTGATTCTGGAAGCCTCTTGTTGACATAGAAGCAGCCTGAATCACCGAGTCACTGCATGGATGACAGCAGAGTAGGAGACTTAGACTTTGCATGGTCAATGAAATAAATCTTTGTTGTGTTAAATCTCTGAGATTTAGGGCCGGCCCGGTGGCGCACTGGATAGTGCGCCGCTTGGGAAGCGCGGCGGCGCTCCCGTCCGAGGGTTCGGATCCCATATACAGACCGGCTCCCGCTCACTGGCTGAGCGAGGCGCGGGAGCAACACCGAGGCTTGCGATCCCGTTGCCGGTCCCCGGTCCGGTACGGGGGCAACACTGAGGGTTGCGATCCGTTGCCGGACAAGGAAAAAAGACAAAAAGACAAAATAAATAAATAAATCTCTGAGATTTAGAGATTAATTTGTTACCACAGCATAGTCTCTCCTGTATTAAAAATAAATAAAAAAAATAAAAAAAAAATTAAATAAATCTCTGAGATTTAGAGATTAATTTGTTACCACAGCATAGTCTCTCCTGTATTAATATAGCTGACCTGTTCAGGTTTCAGCTCAAATATCATTTTCTCTTATCACCAACTCTAAAGTGGTGCCATCTCCTCCAACCAGTCCTCTTTAGCCCTGTTTTTATTTTCCCATAACATTTATCTAATTGTTTATCAGTTTACTTGATTATTGTCTGCCTCTCCCACTAGAATGTGAGCTCCATGAGAGCAGGGCCCTTTGTCTATCTGCTTCACGGCTGTATCCTTGCTGGCTGGCATAGTGC